AAGTTTCTATTGGGAACCATATATATATGTTTATTTTCACCAAGTAAAAAGTCGATAACCAAAGTATAGGTTGTCAAATGACTTATCGTGACGTATGACTCCCTATATTATGTCCCTTTGGCCGTATAGCTAACCTACACAAAACTCATTAGTGTTGCTTTCACTGTTTTTTTTTTTAAACAAATCTTTAAAGCCTAAAAGTAAATTACTAACTTTTGCTGTTCATCAGAAGGAAAAGCTTTCTCAGCGTCACTCAGCACGTAGTGTGCACCTGGTCATCTGTTAAAAAAAAGTAGAAAACGAAGTCATGGACGATTTTTATTATTATTAAAGTCAATGGGTGTATACAGAGATTTACGCCGTTCCCATCATTTATTATCGAGAAGGGTTGCCTCTCGTTTGGCGACAGTCAAAATAATATACCATACATATTTTAGATTTTGGCTGTAATAATCGCCGACTTTGTAATTAAAAAAAAAAAAAAAATAGATACAAAGTTGAGTTTTTGCGGCAACACCAATTTCCACGAGCTGGATCAAAGAAAGTGGCAGGGCGTCCGTTAAATCTACGGTAAGCATCAGTCGATTCGCCCGTGCGATTACTACGGTAGCCGACACTTCGGAATAGAAGCCAGAATATACGAGGCAAACAACGAATACGCTGCCTCCCACGTTTTAAATAAGCTGAAAAAAGCCAGGCGGATTTTTTTTTTTTTTTTCTTCTTTTAATCGCTTGTCGCCGTTAGCTGGCGCCACAAGACGGAAACGATCGTCATGGGGCCCATAAGGCGTTCCGTAATCCTGATCGTAAATTTCTATGCAATAACCGCGGCGTCGTTAACAAACAAACAAATGCGTTTTTTTTTTTTTTTTTATGTTCACATTTTGGGAGCGTTGCGTTTCCCTGCGTGCTGCTCTGCGCTGCGGAGAAGCCACGGCCCAGGAGCGGCCGAGACGGGAAGAAGTTTATTCACTTGCGCAAGAAGTTTTACGTACCAGAAAGTTGTCGGTAGAGGATACGAAACATAGAAGTAACTAAAGAAATCGTTCATCGACAGTACAGCCGCAGTTTTAACACGAACGGAACACCTGTATAAGAACAGATGTCATGAACCACTAACCTCTCCTGTCAAAGACGTCAATTGTATAACTTAGTCAGAAAAGCTAATCACGAGCTTGGTTAATTTCGTCGTAACTTCGCTGCGGTGCTTCAATATTTAAAACTTCTACTCTACGAGATTTCTTGTCCGATCTGAAGTTGAGCAGGCATGTACGGTATGGGATCCAGGCCTAGAATAACCTGCAATCGAAACGAAATCATAGAAGTTTTATTTTCTGTATCTATTCTCATTTATCAAGTATATATAATCGACATTAAAGAAAATCTATCAAACCTTCCACATCTTTTCCTATGCGGAAAAGTGTTGCGACTAGACACCTTTCATGAAATTGATTAATATAATCCACTGCGGTAATGTGAGCCTCCTATCTGAGCTGTCCCCCAATATATATCTTTCATCACATAAAGACCAGCATCATGAGGCAGGCTCTCCTCACTTTCGCACTTTTTTTAATTTATTTATTCCAAAGATTAGCACCAAATTAAAACCCTTGCCTACCTCAACATCAAAGTAACCGACACATCTGCTTGCACAACAGCCATTTAAGATTATTTTCTGTCCCACTAAGCTCCATTTGTTATATTCTTCACTGGTTTTATGTAGTCTTTTTGGTGCTTTCTTACTTCCTTGTGTGATGCCCTCTGGGCAATGAAGGTATTGAGGTAAATAAAAATAAATAAATATCCCAATGATTCTGGTAAGCGGTCATAAGGGGGAAATTAACAACTGCAATCTTGCTTTCATTGAGGGATTTGCCTAGATATGCCGACGAGAAATGTCAGTTAAAAGGGCATCTGAAAGCATTTATTGCTACATTCAGTGCACATTGACTTAGAGCTTCTCAGTCAGAGCTCAGGTTGGCTACTTGGTAATTAGCCAAGTCACTTCTGGCTTGGCTATTAGCCACATTGGGGAGTGTGGTTTTCACTGTCAATTTTCTTCATCCTCAGGACCCAATTGTCATAGCACAAGATAATCAAAGGCCCAAAAACAGAGAATAAAAATAAATGCTTAAAAAAATTTGGGGTGTAGGTATGCTTATACAGCCTGAAGTTAGTCTGCCTCAACGGGCAGCTTGTCTATCAGCTGTAGATAAGCAATTTAGCCAGTGTAGTACAACCGCTAGTGCTAGCCTCAGGTCTTTAATGTGCACCACACAGTAGTGATACATGATCACACACTGGTACGATAGTCATCCAGATCGAAACGGGCAGGGGTGGGGATTGAACCCAGGATCCCTGGGTTCAGCAGTGCGAGCTTCAGGTTTACGTGCTCCAAGCTGGTGTGCGCTAGCCCACTCGGCCACCGATCCCCCAAGATAAGTGCTTATTGCAGCACTTACCATGTCCCTCTGTATTGCTAAATGCTTCTACAAAGAAGTTAAAAAAAAAAAAAGAAATGAGCCATTTCTTTTATGGAATATAATGGAATATGCGTCACATAGGTATTTTATAATTGGCACTGGCGAAGGCGGAAGGCGAGGTTTCGTTGAGTCATGATTCCGGCAGACTTAACCAAACTCATAAAATACCTGGCAATGTTTTCGAGTGTAAACTTTGACCTTGTAATTTCTATAGTACCCCGTTCACCCTCCAGCTGAGATAGTAACCAACGACACCAGCACGAGAGCATAAGGTCGCAGCCTTGAAACGTTCTTCGACAGAACGAGCACTCGCACTAGAAAAGCACACCTCAAAGCCAGAAGCATGGGCTACCTCATGCTTGTAGCGTTGGCTGCAGTGTCAGCTTAAGAGTGAATGGAGTACAGTCGCAAGCAGGAATGCATGTATTGTAAAAGCTAAAAGCTTAGCGTTTGTCCTGTGTGCTTCGTCGTCTTTTTGTCCCATCTCTTTTGCGCTATTTTTAATATGAATGGCAAGCAGGAAGATGATGCTAGGTGGGATCGGTGGCCAAGTGGTCTAGCGCACACCAGCTCGGAGCACGTGGAGCGAAAGCTCGCGCTGCAGAGCCCAGGGATCCTGGGTTCGAGCCCCACCCCTGCCCGTTTCGATCTGGATGAGAATCGTACCGGCGTGTGGTTGTGTACCACTACTGCGTGATGCACGTTAAAGACCCCAGGCTAGCGGCTGTACCGCACTGGCTAAATTTCTCATCTACAGCTGGGAGACTCATCGCCCCTGTGAGGCAGACCAAGTTCTAGGCTGTATAAACACACACACAACCCAATTTGATGATGCTAGGTCATTATCCCGTTTCGAAACAAAACTGGGATCAGTGGCGTCACTAGAGTCAGCGGCACCTGAGGCTGTGGTCTGCCATGACAATCCCCCCCCCCCTCCACTGGTGATGCCACTGACTAGGAAATTATGTGCAAGTAGCTCCTACACCCTGATCTAGCTTCACCTTTCTTCAAGCATTGTGCCCCTAGACCCACCTTGCATTAGTAACTTGTTCGAGGGTGTTTTCGACAAGAGGCCAGTCTATGCAGACGCAACCCTCCTTTTGTGAGCTATACAACAAAGTTAGTCAATTAGCACATCTACACTGGAATCTCGTTAATTCTAACTCTCTTAATTGAAACTCGCAGATAATTCAAACTAACACGCCGGTCCCGTCCGATGTATTTCTAGGAAGAAAACTCCGGTAATTCAAATTTTGCATTATTTAAACAAAGTTTTATTTCCCATCGGGTTCAAATTAACAAGATTCCACTGTATGCGTATGTCTCGTATTATAGTTGCATCTTCCTTTGTGACTTTCCTGCAGTGACATATCGCAGCAATGATAAAAACAAGCTGATAATAAGCCTTAATTAACTAGCGGTAGAGGACAAAGTGCCACATTACTTGAAGCAAAGGGCCATTCCTTCCTTCAGCCAAAGATTTAAGGGGGGGGAAAGACTCCAAATTCATCAATTGCAAGAGTGCATTGCTAGTGCCCCCTGCCTGGTTGAAAGGCTGATGGTTGTGCTCACCATTCCTAGACTGCTGCAGAAGCAAAAACTGCGTTGCAAGTTGCTCTGTTTGTTGCTGCATCGTGTCCCGCTTATTTTTGTGGCGAAGGGAACGCCAAGTTTCCCTTTTAGACTTCCTCGTCCAGGCTAGATTTCGTGAAGAGAGAAGTTTGGATAGCTGCCATAAGGAGCAGGGAACCTGATGGCTCACCACAGCAGCCAGATGTTTTGTTCCAGGTATGTTGATTACGCGAGCCTCCAACAAGTTTCCCATGCACCAAAAAAAAATGCTTTTTCAACACTTGCCGACAAGTTTCCCATGCACCCAAAGAAACGCTTTTCCAACACTTTTTCCAGTCTCGCACCCAAAATGCCAGAGCTTTTGGCACAGTAGGATGGGTGATGCATGCTATGTTTAAGAATGTGGATCGGCAGTTCTTAGGAGGTTTCTAGCATACCATACAATTCAATTTACGCTACGTTAAAAAAAATGCAACAAAACAATCATAATTTTACGAGTGCACCATCTTGGAATCGCTGTCGATAAAGCGGTTTTCAGAAGAACGAAAAATATGAGGACAAATGTGCGTAACGTCAAGAGCCAGCACAAATCCTTTCTTGTCTTTGCTGTTCACACAGGCAAGGTTCCTGTGAGGGGAATGCCAACGTTGGCAGCCGAATTGAGCGGTTTCTGCCCTCGACACCACTGCAGACAAATTTTCTACACTAAACACCGCTGCTTTGAATGATGAAATATTCTTATAAGCAAACTAAACCGCTGTAAAACTGGGGATTTTTTGCACCACCCGCACGTCTCCTCCACCTGTCCGTCGCAGGGCCAACATTACCGCGTAGCATCGCGAAAGTGGGACATTTTCGTCACATGATGCACGCTCCGCAAAGAAATGTGTCTGGTTTCTCCCTCATAGAAACACCGCCGAAGAATGGAATTGAGCGCACGAGTCCTACATCTTTGCCACCCGTTTATTGCTTCCTGAAAAACTTGCAGGCCATCAAAGTTTTTCTCGGTTTTGACAGTGTACAAAAGTTTTCTGCACACAATATCAAAAGTAAATCATACGGTACGACGACAGTAAAATGCATCTTCTCGAGCTTCTGATGTATACAGGTGAAAGCGAAAATTTCAGAACATTACAAATGATTGGCAGTTCTATCCAACTGGTTCAACATGAAAGTGTCGAGCAGATTCTAGTTGCACGCCAATTAGCAAGGGAGTCGAGATACCTTGTCACGTGACATAACAGCGGCAGCCTGTCTAGACCTGAAACAATCAAACAAGGTGCCGACTGTCAAGGAGAACAAATGAAATACTCCATCTTGTCGAGACGAAAGTCAGCAGTCGGAGGCACTAGTGCGATCGCAGGTGTGAGTGTCAGGCTCTTTACTGCATTTCTTTCAGGAAATCCCTGCTGACGTCACGCCCTTGTTGACAATTCGGAACTTCACCGAGCTGCCAAGCACCGCCCTCGAGCTCTTGGCAACTAGCAGCCGCCGCAAGTCGCTGTATAAGTCATCTACCAGGCTCACTTCGAGAGATAGAGAAGGCACGTCGGCCCAGTACTTCCCCAGCGCAGGCTTCATCATTCCGTTGGGTCCCGTCACAACGTCATTGGTCACGACCACCGCCACCCTGAAACGGGCTGCTATGTACTGGAACGCAATGGCAAGGTGTGCCAGGAGCCCCAGTCCTTCGACGTACTGGTCACCGGTCAGAACCGGTGAAACGGCAGCCTTCAGCGAATCTACGACGATCATCTTGATGCTGGCCAGCTCCGAATTCGTTCGACGTTCCAGTGAGTTGCGGATTTGGTCGACCAGCTGCACGAGTTCCCCAATGTCCCGGATGCCGATGTGACAGACCCTCTGCATCAGCTGATCCGGCTTCGCGGACTGCTGGGCGGAGGAGAGTATCTGACGAATCCGCTCGGCAGAGAAGCAACTCAGCGTGTCGACGTACAAGACCCCAAAATGGCTGTCAATCACGGCGTGGGCGGTCAAACTGTGGCACAGCTGCGTCTTGCCCGACGTGCTGGCGCCAACAATCTCCGTGATTTGCCCAGTGAAGACTCCGCCTCCAATGACGTCATCTACCTTGCGGCTTCCGGTGCTGAACACCGCCGTGGTTGCCAAGAACTTGTCGTAGAGACTGGCGCCGTCTTGGGGCGTCGGAGCGAAGAGGGCGACGAGGGACCGCCGGATTCTGATGACGTCACTGTACGGAAGGCCGGTCCTCCCGGCAAGGTCTTCGCGTTCGCAGTTCAGCAAGTCGACGACGGTCCGGATGCCGGCATCGCGAAATTTTTCCACTAGTGGTGCGGTTAGTTCGGGGCAGAGGCCTATGTAAAGTTGCGTCATGGCATGAAATAGAACAGTCCAAGCTTTGCCCTGTGTTAGAAAAGAAAGAACAGCAAACGTACCACAGAATGCACCACCACAGACTGAGCGACAAGTCAAGCTGGTCAGGACTCGCCGGTATTTGCCGCCCTCAAGCAATATGGAAACGTCATTGAACACTGGATGAACGAAAAACTTTCGTAGTGTACCAGTAGCTTTACTATTAGACGGTAACATGCACCGCCTAGTGCACGTTACCACTCGGCTCTAATTACAGCTAACAGATTAATTAGAAATATCATAGTTAGGCACGCTGTAAACTCTGGGTAAATTCAAATCAAGTTAAAAAATATATAGCGTACAGTTATATTAGTCGGTTAATTGCCTACTTTAATCACAATGGTTAGAAATCTCGAGAGCGTTCATGGTGATTTAAATTTCCATTGAGACCTCTGAACATTTTTAATTTTTATTACGCTTTCTGTGGAACTACATCGCCCAAAAACAACTCTCCATAACTTAGTTTGACAGTTTAATGTAAATACTCTAACGTGTTTTTTTTTTTTTTTTTGTATTTTTTAACGAGGTTGGTATTTTTACAGTTAGAGTAGCCAATCCAAGATAAGCCAACTTTTGTTTTGGCTGCTTGTTGATGCTGGGGGTTCGCGGAGCTCGGTCTGTTAATTGTTCTCATGCCGCAGCGATTTTCCGCGGAAGGTTACTTGTTTCTGCGAGAACTGGGATGGAAGAAAGCAGTAAAGATGACCTGTCTGCTAGTGCAGCGTCCCCTGGGTCCGCTCGAGAGAGGTCGCGGTAGAAAATATGACTTTGCCGGTGCAGTGCGCCTGGCTTTGGCGACGTTCATTTGGCAGTACTGATTATTACAGGTCATCACACACTCGCAAACGACGATTGGCAGGACGTGAGTGCGGTCGGCAATAGGTGAGTGAACGACCGGTGTAATTGCTCGCTGTCATTACCAAAGGAAAACTCGTGCCGTGAATATTAGTGACATGAGCGCCTGTCTTTTATCTTCAGTACGCAAAGAAGGAATGAATGTGCATAGACAGTGCTGTGGTCATGAGCACAACAAAAGTGTCCGTCAATGACCCAACAAAAATCGCTTGCAAGCTTTAATCTGGCCTCTGGGTCCGTTTTTAGTTTGAAATCGGGAAGTAATTGTCCCCTCATTTGCGTCGAAGCTTGGACCATTTCTGCTTTGATATTTGCAGACCAAAACAGCCCTGTAGAATTGACAGTAGCCCCCTACAGACGTAGCATTTCTTCCCGGCGTCTTGACGTTGCAACTGTGGGGACTTGTGGGCTTATACTATGACTTAAAAAGTGGTCTCTTGGTTGTTTTTTTTTTCGCGTAGGAAGTTTCCGCCGGTCGCGATCCTGGCGGCGTTAAAGCAGCAGTGCTTTACGTTGCAGACGCTTGTCCTGCTGCAGGTCGCTCTGCAGCTTGACATTCCACGGAAGCTTAAGCAGAAAGGGGTTGGGACGTTGCAGCTACAGCGACACTAACTCCAACTGCCAGCATCGCGACATCCAACAACGTAACACGCTGGCTTCTGTGATGTTATAGACCCTTTTCAAAATTGTGAAATGATGCATAGACTATGTGCAGCCCCATTAGCACGTCTGATCGCTTCCGGCGTGAAATTCGTTGATTAGTTCTGAGTTCACAATGAGCACTGACGCAGCACCTGTGTGGAATGTGTTTCAACCTGAGTACACCCCGAGTGCTCAGGAAGCTCTCGTGTCCAATGCGTACTCACAGTGCATGACTGATGACGGCCGCTCATTATCTACGCATCATTTCGAAATATTGAAAAGGGTTTATTTGTTGCTGATTCGGGACCACTTTGATGTACGGACAGGATAAGACGGTAAATACGCCAGTCGAAGACACTTTTTTTTTAAGGCACCATGGTTGCAACATCAGCAGTGTCGGCCACCTGTGTTCACACGCCGTAACTGCTGAATCTCGAATTGCTACGTTCAGACATCATCGTTAAAATTGTAACTTTCTTGCACTATTTCGATAGAACTATGCTTGAATGATCTGTTTTTATATCTTTAAATGGCATTAAGAATATAAACTGATATCCCTGAGGCCATTTAGTCGTGAAAGCGATTATCTTCCATCCAGACCCAAGTTCAATCCCGTGTTCAGTTGTCATCACCACCACGGGGAGCTCACGTGTGAACGTCACGTCCCTGATTGGCTGCTGCAACTTCAAACATCTCCCACGTCGTTAGAGTTGCTCAGCCCGTTTTGAGCCAGACCCGATCCCAGAAATTTATATTACGGTGGAACAATCGATTAAGAGAGAAATTGACCAGTGACCCCAAAAACTGCTGGGAATGTTGCTCTACTTGAGATGAGCCAAAAGGGCTGTCGAAACAAAAAGCACCAGACGCCACGCATGGCGAGAGAAAAATGTTTGTGCTTCTGAAAAAGTTTGGGCACGCACGTCCGTTTTTAACGATGACGTGTACCATGCAGACCGCAACGCTTTCGTTTCCTTTTTTTCGGGAGATGGCGACCGCCAGCAGAGCATGTGAGTGGCTGGCGGATCACACGTGATGAGAACGCCCCTAGCCTCGTTCCAACGATGCTAGAGGGGGAAAAAGCTTCCCTCCTTCCCCCCTCTTTCCCCCCCCCCCCCCCCCGCAAGAGAAGAATGTACCAAAGCAGGCCAGAACCGGAGCAAAACCTCCGCTTTCAGTGACCTAGGCTTGAACAACCATTACTGTCGCAACGGCAGCCTTCCTATTTTTACCCGAAAATTGCCATGCAGAAATTGCCGTTAAAGAGACTCTAAAACAATACTGCTTCAACGTATATATATATATATATATATATATATATATATATATATATATATATATATATATATATATATATATATATATATAAGGAGATGTTACTATCAATGCATCCGAATTGTTTAAAAAGAAAAAGAGATTGCTTGATTGAAACTGTTTTTATTTTGCAGGTTTTCTGCCTACGGTTATGTGCGGCCAAGTGGTTAGCATCTTTGCTTGTTACTCAGTAGGCTACGGTAGAATTCCTGGCAACGGTTGCTATGCTTATGTTTCAGGCTGATTGCAGTACCGGCACTGCATTGCACCAGCGTGCCTGGTAAAGCAGCTGACGCATAGGAGCAAATCAGTTAGCCATGTGGGCTCAGAAGTCTGGATTAGGCACTTGATAGGTCCTTTGCTCGTTCTTCTGACATTTCAAAAGTAGCGGGCAAGTGTTTTTTGTGACATGGGCGCATGCTCGGAATTCAACAGTTGTTCAAGTTACGCACTTGCTGGGCGTCGTCGAAAACCGCTTAAAGGCCGACATACAACCTCGGTTTTCTGCAGGGAAGATAATCCTCTTAGCGCACCCCTCTCCTAAGCTGCGAGGGGGAGCCAAGTTGGGGCAAGGTATAAAGGTGGAGAGGATATAGGAAAGGAGAAGGCGGTCGTTAGTGGAGAGCACGAATTCTGCGTCGGCATTTAATCAGTAGAATATTTTTAAAAGCTTCGGAGCATGTGCCTTGTTTTTCTGGGCCCTGAAAATGCATCCAACTTTGGCACGCCCACACTTTTTTTTTTCATTTCTTATCAAAACTTCCTCTCTGCCAACCTCGCTCCTATAGCAGAGCGGCACCTTTTACACACCACCGTCGCTTTAGAGAAGCTTCAAGTCTTTCTGAAATTTACTGGTTTAGTAATAATTACTTTAGATGACACTTGGCAAGTGACTAATTAGAGCTATGCATTTATTTTTACAAATGAAAATCTACCTACCTTGGTAGGTTACTCACTGGTGACCAATATGGCATCAAGATGTTTTTTTGCAATGCATGGTTTCCACAAAAAAATTTTGACTGGCCTTCAGTGAAACACTGTAAAACATTTTGAATTACATTAAAACAGTATTTAGTAAAGTCGGGGGTGAAGGGTTCATGATCCTTTTAGAAAAATGATTTCACCTGGAAGGCACCATACACAATGCATGCTATGTCAAGTATGGTCAGCTGAAAGTCAGAATTGAGTATTTTTATTATAGTGGTCTTTGCAGGTCCTCTAGTGTCCTTTTTTTACAGAGTATAAACCAGCCAGCCCAAGTGTGTCACCTATTTTAATTGAAGATTTAACTCGGACTATAAAGTTGTTAATGCCTATGTTAATTACACCATCTTAGCTAGTTTCATAACCCACATAGGATTCTGTATAAGGACATCATTGCATAGGCATCAGCATCTTTGAATGTGTAACTCTTTCTCTGTGCATCATAATCAAGTCAATATTGCTGCTCATTATCATACAAAGAAAACTGATGGTGATAACGATAAAGGGCTGAAGCAAAAATCAAATTTGATTACTTTGTCTACTCAGTTTCTATAGGATACAAGTAGTTGGGATGAGTCGGACATAACTGTATAAGTATGTATAGGGCTGATTTTATTCTTTTAATGCTTTCATGATTAGTGTGGTCTTTAAAGTGACTTTGTGTGCCAGTGTATCTACATTAGATGTATCTACCAGGATCTGCAAGCAATCATGTGGTTGCCTCATGCTGTTGACTATCTCTTCATTCACACTCTTTTAAATCTTGCAGGTCAAACTCCGGGAATTTTTCGAAAGAGAGCACGGTAAATGAAATATTTTTGGCTTGGAGAGGCATCCTTCAACCACGAAGACAACTTTTGGCTTTGAGCGTTCTTCATTATTATTAGAAATTAGCACAACACGCACAGGGACTGGCAGAAAAAGAGCACATACACACAGTGCTAACTCACAAGCCTCATTCTTTTTACTTCTGCAAACACTAAAATAAAAGAGTGTCATAAAAGAGGGCACAGAGGGAACTGAGAAAGAACAGATCTTTGCCATACCACCCCTTGAAGGGGCCCTGCAATGACTTTTTGACTGGTTTTTAATTTGCACCGAACCTGAGTGCACTGAATGCAGTAACTTAATGAAGCTTTTCTTCTCTTGAATCTTGCTTTATTTTAAAAGTTATAGGCAAACTAAAATGACAAAAACATGCAAAAAATAGCCTCCTTCATGATGTCCCTGGTCCTGCCTTGGGCGGCCGTGAACTAGAGGGGTAGTGAGCTCAGCGAGCGCTCACGGCTGCCGCACTCCATGATGACGGCTTGAGAGGGCGCCACTAAAGTATGTTCCCAGCCTATCCAGTGTGCTGGATAGGCTGGGTGAAGTGGGCAGCTCGAATTGCATTTGCTGCCCGAGTAAACACTAATTCGGCAAAACACGGGGTAAATATAAGTTCAGATTAGGAGTCACTTCGCGCTGCCAAACTGCCAAACGACCAAACCGCAAGCCAAACCTGCTCGCCGAAGGCCTTCGGAACGCTTGGAACCGGTCGGATCCTCGGGCCCATGTGACCGCAGCACTGCCGCATACATCTGGGACCTTTCTACACTCGCCGCTCGTTGGCGCCCGATCCCACTACCCCTTTCTAGTATGCGCCGCCTTTTCCACCGCTTGGTGGCGGGTATGTCGACTGATAATTTTTTTCCATACTTTATAAACTGCATTTGTTCCTTTTCTGATCTAAAATATAGAACAAAAACTATTTTCATAACAATTGAAATGGTTCACGCCACTTATATTTTGTATTTAGACTAAAAAGAAGCTTTTAGTGGCTCTGACCAGTCGTAAGGCAGGAGCTGGCCAACATCACAATGTCGTCACATGCCGCACGCGTTCGGTACCATGGGGTGCCTCCATAGGTGGAATAGGCTTCCGCGTCGTCCGATTAAAATATGACACACTGATATTTAGTTACTCTCTCCATGCCCACTGGGTTGCCAAACCACAAAAAAAGGTAGCTGCTTAAATAGGATTGCAGGACCCCTTTAAGCTGGGGCATAATTAATCACATAAATAGCTTCAGCCCTGTAACAAAGTCAAATTCTCCTTTGATGATATAGGCTGCACGTTTTGGGGTAGCATGGTTTTGGGGTAGCATGGTTTCCTGCCTCTGTATTTTCTGTGCTTTTATTTTCATGTATAGAAGTTGGAAGAAAGAGGGTCATGAGTTGGCGTTGTGTATGTGTTCTTGTCCCAGTGTTTTTTTCACGGTTTTTTTTATACTTGTACCAAATATTGACTCACCCAACTTTAAAGGTTCCTACAGTCTCCAGAAAGTGTACTAGTTTTCAGAAATGCAACAGTACCAATTGATATTGAATATTCTATTGTCTTCACCAGTTGTGTATTGAAACCACACTCCTTGGCTTGCCCTACCCTCACTATCCCCCCTCACCTAATTCTCACTTCTGTGGCATTCTTCTAAAAGTGAGTGGTATATTGTATCACCTCTTATGTCTGGGAAGAGCAGACTCTCATACTCTGACCATGTTGTTTCTTTAGAAGTGGTGTTTAATTTGTAACATTGTGGAATTGTGCGTTTGCTGCCGATCGAAAGAGTCACTTTGGGGGACATGCTCGTGACTGACTGATAGGGCAAATTTAGTAGCTGTCAAGCAGCAGTGCTGCAGTGCCACATTTAGCAAAATGCTTTGAAGGCAGGACTTTGTTTGGGGGGGGGGGGCTGCTGTTGTTCATTACAAAATGCTCTATGAGGCAGAGGGGGGAGAGGAGGCATTAGCAGAATCGAAGATTTTGGGGGCGGGGCTGGTCCCATGGCCTCCCCCCCTCCCACTGGGTATGTGCCTGTTGCGGGGAGGGGCAATGCACCAAAGACGACTCCTTTCTGGTCGGCAATGTTCGCTCATCTCCCGTCAAGGCTAAGTAACACAATTTCCGCTGAGGTTACCATTGGCCCTCTAGTTGCTAGAAACAGACTATCTTTTTGTGTTTCTAAAAAAAAATAATATAAAATCAAGCCAAAAATAGAGGTGGGTTATCTTTCAGAGGTATCAGGATATTACGGTGTATTTGTGTGCATAGATGTAACCAGGGTGTAAGATAGACAGGTGGGGAAATGAGAGCCAAATGAGCGACCGGATTGTGTCCCCCTCGGGTTTCTCTTTTTCTGTGGCGCCATCTATGTGGAGCACCGCGAACTCTCACTCCAGGTGGGGGACCGGCGGAGACCGGCTAAACTGACTGAGATAATTTCTCGTGGATTTTCAATGGAGGACTCGTTCTCTCGGTTTATTCTGCGCACTCTTCCATAGAGTTCCACGCAAATCCGATTCCGACTTTTTTTCCTCTCGCCGCAGCGCCATCTGTCGCAAATCGGGGGTACCCGCAAGCAGACGAGTACACAATCCGGTCACGGCGCTGCGGTAGGCTTCTATGGGCTGTTTCCCCACCTGTCTATCTTACACCCTGGATGTGACCTGTAAAGGACAGGCAGGTTCATTCTATTTGCATCGCCTCGGAACACAATCTAATGCTGGAACGCCTTTTCTCTCGTGCCATTCAGTTTACTGACTCAGTGTTTTTCTGGCTTTTAGAGTGGATGCAGGACTGGACCCTTGTGGGTGCTTGTGGTGTTCTGGAAATGCACAGTCCATTTATTTTGAAGCCGTCTTTAGTCTGATGCGATCAAGTGACAATGAGGACTATACTCCGTTTTAAGCTGATGGTGCAGTGGGAGCTCCGCGTTTGCCGGACCAATCAACCTCCTCCCTTTCATCGCCTGACCATGCTTTCAGCACACGGGTGTGGGTGGGATGATCATGTGGTGAATGATAGATGCATGAGTTGTTCAAAGAGCACATGGGCTCCACCACACTGTCAGCTTAGGGGCACTGGAGTATAACTTGGAAGTTTAAATATCCGAAAGTTGAAGATTTACAAATTTTAGGGGACTTTGAACGTTTATGTGCTTGAACACTCAAGGTAGTAATGTAATGAGCTATTAAAAGTATATATATATATATATATATATATATATATATATATATATATATATATATATATATTTATCTACATAGAAATAATTTTTTTTAAGCTGAGATGGTGTATGTGTGCTTTTCGTACTTGAGAGCACCGTACTATAGCAGCAGTCACTGCTTTCTCAATAGCACTCTAGACAGGCAGAGTGTATGCGGATGGTAAGACACTCATGTCCTCTTATAGAATGGTGTGTACTAGCTTATGAGTGGAACCACTGGATCTGTAGGTTTTTATTTATTTATTTATACTACTGGTTCTTGTTCGGGACCATTGTAGGAATGGTTACATTCATGAGGTTACAAAATAGCCATCAAACAAACAAGAACCAAATGACACTAATATGTCACAAAAGGAAAAACATGCAAGCAAATACAAGCAAAATCTTCACTCAACATTGAAATGATTTCGTACAGAATCAAGAAATAAAATTAGGGAACTAGACCTCATTATTTCAGTGGGTAAGTTATTCCAATCTTTGAAAGTGCGAGGAAAAAATGAGTATTGAAAAGCATTATTTCACGGTAACGGCTCAATGATGTAATACAGATGTTGGCTATGTGTATTGGAGCATGCAGAAAATGATATATACTTGTCCCGATTGATGTTAATCATGCCTTGAATTATCTGGAAGAGCAGTTTCAATCTGTTAATAGTATTTCTCATGCTAAGGGTTGATAATTGTGCTTTATTAAGTAACTCACTAAGTTATTTTCGACCCTGGTCGACGTGACCTTGCGCTTTCATTTATGCGATTGTTGAGAAGCTACTCTAAGGTGGAGGAAATCACTTAACTCCTTAAGTGCCACTTTTTTTTAAAGCAACCTAAAAATGCCATGTATTTTTATTAAAGAGTTTTAGTCCTCTAGTATAAGAGATAAAATTTTAGAAGTTAATTACGCAAAAATCAGAGACTGAAAAAAAAAGGCGCCAACTGAAACGAGTGCCGCCATTTATAATCAGCTATGCAAACTACTCGGACGAGCCTAGCCCATCCGTGGCATTGAAAGCTACCGGAAAACCACTGGATAAGCTGAGCTCGTCCATGGCATTTTTAACCAGAAAGTGGCTGACAAACTCAGCTCGTCCAAGGCACTTGAAGGGGTGATTGGACCTGACTTGATGTGTCTCCCCAACAGAGCTGACCAAGACAGACCCAGACGACAAAGGGAGGATTGTCCACTACGAAAGCAGCCACAGCTGGCTCTCTTCCGAAGGAGATGGGTTGCACGAGCAATGGCGCACAACGCAGTCACGACGGGATGGCGAATACCACTGCCGGTTTTGCCCTTACTCGAGCCCTTCTACACAAGCAGTTGCTGCTCACGAAAGAACGCACACGGGAGAGAAGCCTTTCAGCTGTCTTGTTTGTTGGAAAACATTTGCGCACAGGTCTAACTTGCGAGCTCATGAAAAGACCCACACTGGTGAGAAGCCCTTCACATGCCAGGTTTGCCAGCAAAAATTTGCAAAGCGGGACCACCTGACTTCCCACGAGAAGACTCACACGGGGGAAAGACCATTCAAGTGCCGGACATGTGGGGCCGACTTTGCGCAGAGTTACACCCTAGTTTGTCACGAAAGAGTTCACAGTGGAGATCAACCATATCAGTGCGAGGTCTGTGGCAGGTTCTTCTCTAAGAGATGTAATATGAACGAGCATCGGAGGAGAAGGCACACGTAAGGGAGGCCTGCCGTGTGGCACCTCTGATAGGGTTTTCACTGAACACTACTCTAATGTCTTGCAGTGTATTCCCACCAGCGATCGGACTATAATGTGCTACATATATGATTATTTTATTGAGATGTTTGTTGTGCTTTAAAGAATTTACTCTCAAAAGTAGGACACCTTTTTATTTTTGTAAACTGTTCTAAGTATTGCTTACACAAATTTGCCAAACACTGAAAGAAACTGCCAGTGAAACATTTCAGTTTTTATACATATGCAGTATAAGTGAAAACATGGTAATTTTTGTTTTGAACAGAGGCTACCTTCTTCAGTTAGCACTCCAAGAGGAACTTGAGAGTAATAACCAGTTGTTGCCACTGCACATGACAGCCTGCAGTTCTAGGAGGTTCATTTGCTGTGGGATCAACTGATTTTTTTTTTTCAAGATCCTTATTGCCCTTAAATGACAGATTGGGTGAAAAGAGTTTTGGACATTTCTATGCAGGATATTGTGGCATAAAAGTATTGTCTCTATACTTTACACAATGTATAAATAATCCTTTATTTTGTTTGTTCCTCGAATGTCGATTGAGAACGCTGCATAATGTTGAATTGCATTTCTCTCATTGTGCTCTGTTCACCTGCCTCTCAATTTTTTATTATTCTGGCCAATGACATAAGCTTCACTTGTGATTTATGCCATGCCAGAAAGCAAGTGTGTTGCAGTTTAACTAGGCTGAGCAAGTTTGTATATTCTGAGTCACAACACCATTACTGCAGATGAAGATGGCAAGTGGTCTATATCAAAATTTATTTTCAAGGACAAGAATTCAAGCCATATCTCCACCTTATCAAGGTCTAAAGGGACTTTTTCACTTGCATTTTTACTCTTAAGGCCCGTTCACACTCTTGCGACCGAGTAAGACCGAGAGAGACCAGACCGGTTTTCAAGCCTCTTGCGATCTCTTAGGACCAGCTCCGCTGCATCGCATCCGGTCCGAAGAAGTTGCAAAAGGCTTAAAAACTGGTCTGGTCTATCTCGGTCTTACTCGGTCGCAAGAGTGTGAACAGCGCTTTAAGGAGATACTTCAACGAAATTTGAAATATACCTGTCGTATTTAGAAATGGTCTGAATATGATCCATGATATCCATAAATAACGATCGCACATTTGTATTTTGAGCCTGCTGGCTGTATTTTTCATTATAAATGGCCCACTCTGGCAAGCACTCGGAAGAGCAGCTAGCAGAGAGCACGTGAAATCCGGTGCAATCATGACTTAGATCATCTCGCGACGAGCAGAGCTGTGGCGAGGCTGACGTCAACAGGATGTCCTAGCCGTTCAGGTCACCGCAACTAACCCCAAAGCTGCTCTTGTACAAATTTTGAGTGCTGGGTTAATCTTCTATAATCTTGTAGAGGGACCTGGGGCACGCAAAAGAGAGTCCTGGTGAGAGAGGGGAGTTCCTCCTTCCCCTCTTCTCTCGTGGTGACCAGAGGCGAGACAGGCATCGTCACTACCTGTCGATGTTCCTAAATGGGCATTACAAACGAGGCTTTAGCAACATCCACAAGGTGCTCTTTGTTAATTTAATTTGTTTTAAAATTCCTTTTTATATTTTTTTTAACAAGAGATTGGTGTGCCTGATGTGATACTGCTCCCTTGAACACGAATAGACCAAAAAATAAACATCAAAATTTTGTTGTAGTATCCCTTTGTGACCTTGAGCTGGAACTTCTCATAGAACTTTGTTATATGTTTGGTTCTCAAGTGAAGTAGTTGAGGTCAAACAAGCATTGAGACATGTGACTTGGGGACATCAATGTGTAGACGTCTCGATTGAGATGTCTGTCTGTGTTTTCCCCCAAGTAATGCCAGCCTTGGGTACTTTTCACCATGTCTAGCTAGTTGAAGTGGGAAAACATTACTTTTCACTGTCATGTCATTCCAACAGATTTGGCCAAGACAGATTGGGGCTATGAAAGCGTGAGCCTTGACAGCAGCAGTGACTTCCCTTACCAAAGCGATCAGTTGGTCGTGTACCAACAGAAGACGGACATAGAGGGAAATCGCCAAAGCAACCTGTGCCCTTGCTCCGGCAGTTGTGTATGTAATATTACTTCTCACCAAAGGACGCACATGAAAGAGAGGCCCTTCAGTTGTCATGTCTGTCAGAAGGCGTTCTCAAAGAAGCATCACCTAGTGACTCACCAAATGACGCACACGGGTGAAAGGCCTTTCAGTTGCCAGGTCTGCCAGCAGGCATTTGCAAAGAGTGGCAGCTTGGTGCGTCACAAACTGACCCACACAGGGGAAAAGCCGTACGAATGTGGCACATGCGGGAGTGCTTTTGCACGGAAATCCAGCTTGATATGCCACAAGAAAACTCACACGGGGGAGCAGCCACACGTTTGCGACGCCTGTGGAAAACCGTTCTCGCAGGAACCTATGTTACGTCGGCATCAAGGATGCAGGCACACGTGAGGGATACATATCGTGATCCACGTAGATGAGTTACACAATGACCCTGTTTGAAGCTTCGGCTAGTTTTGGCACATTCTGATAAACTTTCTGAAGGCCCATCTGTCCTCAAATTGTGAAAAGTATAGATTATATGTTGTAGTTAAAATGATTCTTGTTCTTACTACTGTATCACAAGTCTACCTTGCTTTCTGTTTTCTGCAAATATCTAAGTGTGGCAAGTTGTCGATATCCTCTCCTGAGATATCCGGGTTTGCATATAGTGGTATGTCTGCGCTGTTACCACTTGCAATATTTTCCTCTAGGCGCTACAGGTTAACTAAATAAATAAATATGTCACTTACCATGCTGATCGCTTATCAGGCCATCTCAAAGTAAATTTTTTTTATGCTCTGTTTTTTAGACCAACTTTTCAAAACTTCAGTCCATCATAAACTTCAATCCTTGCATCTACTCTAGAATCCACTCAAAAGCATTCTGCTCTTTTCAAACACAAACTACCATCACTGCGGAGCCTGCACAACATCTAGAATAATCGAAGCCTCCGCATCGCCTCCTCTCCCTTCTTGAAACATCATCACTGTCAGATCGCGCCAACTTGGCTATTGGGCCCAACCTGACCTTCGACGCGCTGATTGAACACAAGCCCCGGCCGAACACTGATGCAGCACTTGTGCCCAATCTCAAGCCTCGATCGATCTGACTGTGATCATGGTGCATGGGCCTTCTGCTTATCTAGGTGGTGTTGGCCTGCATAAGCTCTGAAAGCATCTCTGTTGCCTAATCACTCTATATTGGGGAAAAAAGTACCTTGTCTATATTCTGAACACTTTCCAACCGTCTTAAAAATAAATGAAACGAAATATGTTTAAGTAGCGTCAGGGTTTTGGACTGCTGGTGTTGAGCGTTGTTTCTTGAAGAAACTGGCAAACTTCAGCGTCATTCATTACGCTTTCCAATTTTTTTTTCTTGGTTATGCATAGGGTTCTGCGTTTTCAGTTTTTATTTTTTCAAAATTCGGCGTACTGTTTTCGGTGTTTATTCTAAAATTCAATTTTCTGTTTTTTACGGTGTATATTTATGCCCACAAAAGTTTGCCGTGTTTTTTCGGTGAATTTGAAATAAGCACCAACGGACACCGGATCAGATAACCCTTGTGCTTTGATATTTGTGATCACTCAAAGACAAACGGCACAGATACGTTGAAAAAGAAATGGACACTTTTGGCAGATCTGTGCAGCTGTAAAAGACACAAGAAAAAACACAACAGAAGTACAGACGAGTCAGATATGAAGCCTACGCCCAAAAACATTGAGCTTCACCTTCTGTACATCAGGATTACGTGACCTTATTATAGTAAACACACATGTACTTTCCAAAGTTCTCGTTGATCCGCACTCTTTCCAACTAATATGACCCCGAGCTCCGAGAATAACACTGGACACTAGCAGGCTGAGAAGGTGAAGCGCTGCCTGAGCCAAAATCTGCCACTGAACCAAATCTGACCGCCAAAAGAGACACGGTGCGACTTTTTGAAGCAAAACATATTTCGTGTACTCACTAAACTCTGGCTGCAGAGCTTGCATCAAGTCAGTCTCCCTTACAGCGAGTTTGAAAACAGGCTCGTACATTGTGAAGTCGTGAAGCATTTCGGACTTCACGTTCCACTTGATGATGCGCACATTAAACCATAACCTCGTGATGGCACCTGTGTATCCCATACATTCAGACATGTTTTGATAGACGCTGTCATTCCACTTTTTCGCCAGGGCTCTACTGTATGACGGGAAGGTCAAAGTGGCCTTTTTCGGTTAAAACTGAATTTCCGAAAATGGATTCGGTGTACTTTTATCGGTTTAAACCGAAAACTCTGAACCCTCGTTTTGCAGCACCATCCTTTAGTATATCTACAAATAAGGATATAAGTTAGGGACCACTAGAAGAAAGGCAATATTAGTTGGTTGCTTTGCTAATGAACTAAAATATTTTACATTTTAAATTTTTCTGACGTAACATAGTTGGGAGTGATTTTGATTAAAAAAAATTGTAGCAAGTGCTACATCACAAGAAATGGCTATTGCAAACAGTACGAGCAGTAACACTAAAGCGCGTCGCCTTCGGTGTATGCTGCGCCACCTTGAGGATGATAAAACTTGATTGGGGAGGGGGTTGGGGGTGTGTGCATTTGCTCAACACCGCGTATCCAAACACAGACGATGCTACGAGCTGATGGGACCAATCAGATAGTGTCAAAAGCGCACCATCATGGTCATGTTTCTGTTCTATCATCGTTGAACCAATCATAAACATGGAAGGTCTAGTGACTTGGGCTTTTGACGCTGCTTGGTTGGTCCTATTACCATCGTAGCATCGGCTGCGTCTGGACCTTTTACAGCGAAGCTGTAAATGGCTAGGGTTTTATGCATTTTTGGTATTCATGTGCAGAAACAAAATCGCATGTAAGAGCGCTCCATTGTATGGAAATGCATATACACCCTGTCACCTCGATATACATTTCGATAAGGAAAGATGTTGGAACGTGTAATAAATGAGATATGTCGGAGAACAATGAGCCTTCTCCTGCTTGAGTCGGGTGATGTCACTGCTTTAAAAGCATTATATGTATAGATTTAACTTTAGCAAAGAATCACGCCAAAGTTGTAATGGGACCCATTAGTGTATTATATCGTAGTGATCACAAACTATCATCACTACCGTTTCAAAATGGTGTATATATACTGTAAATAAACATTTGGTGAAGGGCTTTTGTGTGTATCTTGATGAATCATTTTCAAAACTTTTGAGACATAGTTGCCAAAACATGCCTCCGCGAAAGCTGTATGAAGCGGGTATCAGTGCTGGAAACTCTTTTCGACGAGGATGTTTACCTGACTTCACCAGCATCCTTTTCCACACCATTTTTGCACTCTTCAAAAATGAAAGTTATTACATGCAACAACACCTTATTTTAGGACTAAAGGAGTGTAGAACTTGAAAGAAAAAAGCTGAGCTGGCATAGACGCTTCTAAGCAGCTGTGCGCGGGTGCCGCCATGACCGACCTCCAGTTTTTGTCTCCCCTTATTCCGTTCAGTTCACTTGATCATTACCACAGCAGGCCAGGTTATTGCCATTTAAGATTCTACTCTGTCCTTCTCCCCAGCATTGGCTTTTGTGGAGGCTCGTCAACGCCCGTTTCAGTGACTCGGTAAGACAAGAGAAGGTCAACAATTGTTGATATGATCTAGTGCGTATGCGTCTATAGTTGTGTGTATCTCTCTTGAAAAGCCTTTTTACCAGGTGGGACATACAGGAAACTTTGATTTAACTCGTGATTTGAAAATCTATCAATGTAATGACGATGTGTCTATTCTTGACTATGTAGAAGAGCATTTTAATTATTTCAGTCATCTATCCGATATCGGCGAGCAGTGGAGGAAGTTTAAAGACAGTGTGTCCCACTGTGTATGTTATTTTGTTCCTCCTAGGAAAGTGAGAGCATCTTCACACAGAAAATCCCTGAAATCGGGAATCCGAAAAGAAAAAAGTGAGGATAACGAAGGCAATTCTACGACAGAAGCAAAAGATGAAACGCCAAAGGAAAAAGGAAGTTACAAAAACAACTTAGATTGTTAATTAAGGACGACCTTTAAAAGATCTCGTGATGCAAGCAAAGGAAAGCTACTGTGGTAATGTGTTCTCGCGGTTTTTGATTGAAGCCCCACAGAACTTTTGGCATTTCTTTTCGACTCCGAAGGAAAGAGCTTATCGAGTGTTAATTAATACTGAAGTCGTCTCATGTCCTTTTAGAATTGTGGAAGAATTCAACAAATACTTCCAGACTGTCATTACGGTGTCGTGACCCGCCGGTAGGCCTTGTCAACGAACCCAACGATTCCCAAATGCCAGAGTTGGGTTTGTCAGGAAGTGGTACGCTTTTAATTTACTTTTAACTATAAACAATAAACAAGCATCTGGACCAGACAATATCCCCAATGCATTTCTATGAAGATGCGCCGAGTGGGTGTCGCGGTACTTGTATTTAATTTTTCAAGCGTCCATCTTTCAGAGCAAGTTACCAGAAGACTGGCTACGTGGGAAAATTGTGCCCATTTGCAAGTCTGGAAATAAGATGGACCTTCAAAATTATTGCCCTCTATCTTTAACAACGACATGCGCTGCAGACTTTTAGAACACATAATTTCTAAACATATATAAATAAATACTGTATAAACAGGAGCATGGGGTATCGGCGTGGTCTATCGACAGTCGCGCAACTAATAGAGTGCACTCACGAGTTTGCATTGGCTATGAACGAACACATGTTGACGTAATATTTATGCATCTCGAAACCGTTTGACCGGGCACCCCATGACAAATTAGTTAAAAAAATTAGCCTCTTTGGGATTAAACCGGTCTACGAAAATTCCCTAATAGGATCTAGCATCACGCCCACGCATCTTCACACAGAAAATCCCTGAAATCGGGGATCCAAAGAGTGGACTGTCGCTTTCGCTTTGTGTCCATGTTAAAGTGTCTTTCGTGTGTTGCTTTCATACAACTACTCTAAAAAAAAAAAAAATTGTTGTTTTAGGAATTGAAATAGCCCAAAAATAGCTACATAGCCCACCGCTAAATTTCGACGCCAAATGAAGTACAAAGTAGCCCAATTTGGCTATTAATAGCTCACCCTGATAACCCTTGCTTCCACTCAACTTGGCAAACAAAAGAAAGAAAAAAAAACAAAAAAAAACGCCAGCAACCTTATTTAAAAGCTGCGCCAGTGCTACGTCATTAACACAAAACACATAGATAATACATAAACAAATCAAAACAAATATCAACGAGGTTGACAAATATACACGCCTGAGCCCACTGGCGAATGACGACTTCGGCGAATGACGACGAATGACAAAACCACAAATCCTACTCGAGCAAGATGGCCGTCCGGTGGCTTCACTCGCGCTGCAGCGAACTAGAGCACTATATAGCTCCTTCGGAGCAGAGTACCGCAACCTAGAACGCTATCTCTCGGCGACTAGCGGCGAACTCCTGGAGGTTCCAACTCCGGTCGGAAGTGCATGGGGAACGTGGGAAAATCACTGTTTCTTCAATATTGTGGGGACGTACGGAACGAGAATAGTTTTAGAGCGCAGCTCTTAGGCGGCCGTTTCCGGCTTGAGCGGCGTCGGCGCAACTGCGCGGTGCATTATGGGTAAATTTCCCCGCTAAATTTAGCGGAAAAATTTCCCTGCTAAATCTAGCGGAAAAATGTTTCCGCTAAATCTAGCGGAAAATTTTCCCCGCTAAATCTACCGTAAAAATTTCCCCGCTAAATCGAGCGAAAAAATTTCCCCGCTAAATGTAGCGGAAAAATTTCCCCGCTTAATCTAGCAGAAAAAATTTCTCCGCTAAATCTAGCGGAAAAATTTCCCTGTAAATTTAGCGGAAAAATTTCCCCACTAAATTTAGTGGCAAAATTTCCCCGCTAAATCTAGCGGAAAAACTTCTCCGCTAAATCTAGTGGAAAAATTTTCCCGCTAAATCTAGTGGAAAAATTTCTCCGCTAAAGTTAGCTGAAAATTTCCCCGCTAGATCTAGCGGAAAAATTTCCCCGCTAAACCTACCGGAAAAAAAATTCCCCGCTAAATTTAGCGGAAAAATTTCCCTGCTAAATCTACCGGAAAAATGTTTCCGCTAAATCTAGCGGAAAATTTCCCCGCTAAATCGAGCGAAAAAATTTCCCCGCTAAATCTAGCGGAAAAATTTCCCTGTAAATTTAACGGAAAAATTTCCCCACTAAATTTAGTGGCAAAATTTCCCCGCTAAATCTAGCGGAAAAACTTCCCCGCTAAATCTAGCGGAAAAATTTCCCCGCTAAATCTAGCGGAAAAATTTCTCCGCTAAATTTAGCGGAAATTTTCCCCGCTAGATCTAGCGGAAAAATTTCCCCGCTAAATCTACCGGAAAAAAAATCCCCGCTAAATCTATCGGAAAAATTCTTCCGCTAAATCTGGCGGAAAAATGACCCCGCTAAATTTAGCGGAAAAATTTCCTCTCTAGATCTAGCGGAAAACTTTCCTCGCTAAATCTAGCGGAAAAAATTTCCCCGCTACATCTAGCGGGGAAATTTTGGTCACGTGACCGGGGGGGGGGGGGGGTCACGTGATCCTTTCCTTCATCTCACGTGACACCCCCCCCCCCCCCCGACAACACGTGGCCCTCAGTACCCTTCCCTCCTCCTCCTCAAGAGCTGTGCATTACAGGGAGTTGTAAACGGCTTTCACTTTTTTGACATAATAATGGAACATTTTAGAATAATTTACGCTAAGTTCTGTGCCACGTAAGGACGTAACTTTTTTAAAAAAATTGCCTGAGCGGCATCATGTAGCAGACGACGCGGCGACGTCACACCGTTCACGTGACCCGCTCCGGCCACCCCCAAAAAGCCCTTCTCCGCTACGCAAAAGAATCGTCTGCTTCAAACGCCATTTCCTTGGAAATTGCCTTCTCACAATTTTCACACATCCAATATTATTTAAACTTTGATAAAGTGTTTAGTGCTTTACCAAGTTCACGACAGACTAGTTTCGAAAAGTGTGAACTTGGCGTTTATGTTTTAATCAGCCATGTTGAATCGATCTCCATGTATTCTCCCATAGGCTATTAAAATACGACGACCATAGGGTGGGCCGCCTCCTAGCAGACGACGCGGCGACGTCACACCGTTCACGTGACCCGCTCCGGCCAACCCCAGAAAGCCCATCTCCGCTACGCAAAATAATCGTCTGCTTCAAACGCCATTTCCTTGGAAATTGCCTTCTCACAATTTTCACACACATCCAATATTATTTAAATTTTGATAAAGTGTTTAGTGCTTTACCAAGTTCACGACAGACTAGTTTCGAAAAGTGTGAACTTGGCGTTTATGTTTTAATCAGCCGTGTTGAATCGATCTCCATGTATTCTCCCATAGGTTATTAAAATACGACGACCATAGGGTGGGCCGCCTCCTGAAACCCTGATTACCACGTGACCCGCGCCGAGCTGCTCAGTCGGTCATCTTGTCGACGAAACACGCGGATCAAAGGATTGCGCTACTCTGCTCCGTAGGAGCTATAGTGCTCTACCAGACACGAGCGTTTCGCCGCAGTAAGGTTGCAACGCCTATTGGCTGAGAGAAAAAGCAAAAACAAGCAAAACAGCACAAACAGGAAGTGACGAAAATTTTTGTTTTGTTTGTTTTTGCTTCTTTCAATTTTACGTTTTGTTTTTACTTTTCGTTCCTCCAAGTGTTTGTTGGGCGCTTTTCGGAGCTGTCGCGTCGGTTCCATATCAGTGGTTCCAGCGGTCTTTCTTGTATTATACATTGTCGTGTTATGTGCCGCGGTATTGCTGAGTGGAGTTGGTCGTGACATTCAATGCTTGGGAACGAGCGTCGGCAGTGAAGTCCACAGCGCATTCAGCGCATTCATGCAAGCCAGCAACAGGCCCCGTATCACCACATGGAGGCCCGTGGGACGCTTGTTCGGAAAGTAAAAGGTGAGTGGAATTTACCTACTGGTGGCGTTCGATCGTCGATTCGACACCGCTGTGGTGGAATTTGATAGCGCTTGGCTACCTCACGCAGCGTCGGGGACAAAGAAGATAATCAACGGGAGTGGCATGTGGTTCCCAAGTGCCGCCTGCGCCGCATTTGCATGTTGGGAATGTCAGCTTTTGACGAGCTCGTGCAGTCACAAAAGCGTTCTGTCGAAAGAC